GTTGTACAAATTACTCTTAAACACTCTGTATTAATTAAAAAAAAGCAACTTTTTAAATTTTCAATTTAATTGAAATTAATTGAATAATTATATATGAAATTTCTAATTAATATATATATATATACTCGTATGTATGTATATATAAACACATAATTTAAATCCATCATTATATCGTACAAGTTAATAATAATCTATATAACAGAAGGAAAGATATTTTCATCTTGTACAGGAATTATTTTTCGTGTTATATTAAAAAATTTTTAATACTTTAAGATTTTAATTTATATATGTATACCTAGCCTACACGCTTGTTATACCAAAATCATATATTTTTAATTAAAATAATTAACATGACATTAATAATTATTACGACTGAAGAAATGAACTACGACAGGAAAATGAGCGAAATATAAAACATTAAATGACATTAATGAAATTATATGCTCAAGAAAGTTTTTATATACCCGAAATTTTTAAAATTTTATAATAATTTTAGAATTAATTAGTCTTAATTTATATTTTAGACTTTTAAGTAAAATAGCATAGGTAAATATTAAAAATCCTAATACTCAGTAGTTTCCAGTAAACTCATAAATTTATTAATTGTATAAAATTGTAAATTTGATAAATTTACAATTGATCACTTGTTTGCTTTCTTGCACACGCCCATAATCGGAACATAAAGTAGTAACCATTCTGGTCGTGTAATTTTTGTGTGGGGTATCTATTTAAGTATCAAACGACTCGATACAGTGATTATAGCACCGCTCCTCTCAAGAGACAAAAGCATCCCGGGCCACCGCAGCCATTCGCAACTTCTTGTAGCCTTCTCATCCTCCCGCCTATAATATTTTAAAACAAGTTTAGAACTGGAGATATCCTTATATGGAAGTTGAATACCAGTTCCCGAAAGCTTAGTTCAAAAAGCTTAGTTCTTTGTCCAAAACAATTGTCCATGTTCGATATTGTATAATGTTGTAAACCAACAAAAAATAAACAATAAATGCTAATAACTTTGTATATTTAGTATGAAGAAAAACTACGGTAGACTAGTCACCGCCTAATTAATTCCAATGATCTGTAAAACTTATGCTTGACTCTAAAATCAAGTGGAACATCCTAATGTTCCTAACGTCCTAATTTAATTATTGTATAATACAATTCATTTCCATTGTGTGTTTTTCAAATGGTATCTTCAATATATCGAACTCCAATAGAATAGAATCCAACTCCATTCCCTTTTTCTTTTCTTTTATTGTATTTTCAACTACTTTTTATTTTTAACAAATTTTAGAGCATTAGACAGGTGTCAAAACCGTATAGAAGAACTAAATTGCATTTTGAAAATTTTTTTGTTATAGGCATGAAAATTTTCTAACCTACACATTATTTTCCAAATACAATTCTAGTCAGACATTTTCCATTCCCATCGAATATTGACGTCCAGCAAAATTCGACTGTTTTGTACTTATAATTCAATTCTTTGTTTCTTAAAGTAAAAAATATTAATTGAAATAAATTTGAATTCAAGTTCAAATTATTTAAGATATCTAAAAAATTTTTCATACTTTTCCATTTTTAAATTGGTAAATAAATAAAAGTACAATAAGTTAGTTTCATTATCAAATTATCTTATCTAATGATAGCAATTTTTTATTTTTATAATCTTTATAATTATGAATTAATTTATTTAATATTTTAGAATTTGTCATCATAGACTTGATTATTTTTAATAATATTTTGAATTTAAAATCATTTTAAAATAAAAAATTCTTATCAAAAATTACCTTTAGACTTTGCAGTATTTTTGTTTTTGTTTAATAGCTTTTAACCCTTTACCCCCTACTACACATAATTATAGAAAATACTGCAGTATTGTTCACAAATTATTTAATAAAATGGCATACAAGAGGCATAATTATATACAATATTTATACATTATACAGCATGTTTCGCAGAAGGTGACAAATAAAATTTCACGGACTATTCGTTGATCATGGCGCTGGGAAGGGCGAGGAGGGGGAAGGGCGGGGGGAGGTTAGGGTGCAGATATACCCGTTTTCGAGCTACAGCCAGTTGAAAAAAAAAGTTGCCGGATATAAATAATTGTTTATAACTTCGGAATCATACAACATAGAGTTATCATTAGGAGCTTGCTTTATAGGTGGTCGATTGCTCTCTATTTTTTGTCTTACAATTAATTTGATTTAAGCCAGTTTTCAAGATATAGCTCGTCAAATTCAGAATTTTTGTTTTTTTGTTAATTTAAAAAATAAATTGAAATTTCTCGAAATTTTGTGTTATTTTTTTTTTTTTTTTTCGATGCGTCACGATGTCACCTAAAAATCAACACATATAACATTTTCCTCTTTCTCTCATAGTTTTGCCAGTAAAACGTGTTAAATGTGTTCGAAAAACATGCGAAAAATGCATATTTTCAAACCCCCACCAATACAATTTTTTACTGGAAATTATTCAAAGAATTATCCCTGAAATTATTTGGCACCTTGTGTGAAACACTCAAATAGATTTTATAATAGTCTGTATTTAAATTACAATTGATTGAAATTTAGAAAATTCTAGTATAAAAATGACGTTAAAATCATCTGTGTTTAAGAGTAAAATGTAAAGGATTTAGTGATTAATTAAAAATTGTTTCAGCTATATTGAAAATCTATACATAATTTATTTGAACGTTCGACAAATTATGCTTTCATCCAGTTTATGTAATAGGAATCGTATCATAATAGTAGCATAGTAATACTTATACTCATAAGACTGAATTGCATTTCAATACCGTGTAATTGCAATATTGAAATTACGAGTAATGAAAGTTTCACAGAGTTTTTATAAAAGACTGCAGATGAAATATGTTTTCAATGAAAATACCATCTCCATATATATAGAAGAAAATGGAAATAATGGAAAAAAACTATCTTATCAATTGATTAATTATCAAAAATTTTTATTTTTAAAGAAATTCAAGAATAAAAAAAGGAAATGTAGGAGTGTTTTAGCCTTCAAATAAAATAAAATAAAAATAAATTACTATAAGAGGAAGAAGAATGAATTCAATATCCTTATATTTCCTATAGTAGTTAATAAACGAATTTCTCTTCTTAATCCTTGGATTATCTGCAATTTATTGTATTGTAATATGAGATTTAAGCTTTTTTTAATTAAAATTTTAATTTCAAGCCTACAATATTGAGCAAACCCCCTAAGATTCTAATAAATAGAAAACTTAAATTTATTTAAATAATTTTTGTATATTAATCCATAAGAACCTGAGTCAATTGCAACTTGAACAAAATGATAAAGATCTTCTTAATGATCTTTTGCATCATTCATAAATGCAAATTATTATTTATTTAAAAATTGTCTTACACGTGCTGCATATAAATTAATTATTTTTTATTGATATATGAATTTCATTTAAATTAATTAATATTTTAATTAATTAAATTTTTTTAATTAGAAATCTTCATTTATAATAGTATATAATATTCTCAAGGAAATATTAAGATATTGAACTAGATTTCTCTATAGATAAAATTTTACATATGTAATTCATTTTAATATTTAATAAAATTTTTAAGCTTTTATATATGTATGTGTGTATTAATTGAATAAAAATGGTCTCCTATACAGTTCAGTTGTCTTTATTTCTCATAGGAATATTGAACTCAGTTATCTGTCCTAAAATAATTCAGTAACTACCACTTATAATCTGTAATAATACAATATTAATGTATAATTCTAACATCACGACGACAATTTCAAAATTGAAAATTTAATATTGTGATCATGCAGTCGAATTCATCATGATCATGCAGCAATACAATTGACACTAAATTTTTTTTTTGGTATCACTCATAAAGTTTAATAATTTTATAAGAATAAGTAACATATTGCCAATATTAAAACGTTATCACAATAACAATAACACTATTACTGTAATTTTAAAGTAACGGTAAAATACACTCAATTTATTAAAATAATTAACAGTCACTTAAGCTGCACTTAAATGGTAAAGTTTAAAATTTCGATTAAAGTTGAATTTGAATTCGCAATTCTAACAACAATTTGCAATGGCAGTACGTTTTTGAAGTTTACAACTGCACAAGATCTTCTGTCAAATTGACAGTATAAAATTTTTTCCCTGCTTTTATATTTGTAACCTCAATTAGTAGAGAGATTTTGTTGGCATTTCATAACCAAAATTTCAATAGAGTTTTTGTTGGCAGCTCTGCTTTAATAGATCTATTGCAGTATAGTTTTAACTATAATAAGATCTGTTGAAGTCACAACTGTAAACGCCTTTTACTGCAATTTCAATAAGTAATATAGTATTAAATATTCTATTTAATAATAAAATAATTTGACACTTTTAAATAACTTAGATTTAGATTAAAATTTAAAATGGACTGACACTAAATTACTATTATTCTTAGAAAAAACAAAATTGCACCTGCAACCCTAATTTTATGTTTTCTCACAGAATCCAACCAAATTTATTTTAAATATATTATGTACCGGCAAATAAACTAAATATGTAAAATTAGGAAATTAAAGAACTTCAGGAAAAAAAAGTAGGTTTTGTAGCCTTAAAAAAATGAACGTGATTTTTTAAAGTTTTTTACGCTTAACTAAGGAAAAACAAAAAAAAACAAACAGCAAGCAAAGTAATAACAAAGAAACTTTTTTATTTTCCTCACACAATAAGTAAACAAAAAAACAAAGTCATCTTTATAGTTTGTAGTTCAGTTAAGGTACGTAAGGCTTATAAGAAAAAAACGTCATTAATAAAACTTTATCATAGCCAAACTAAATACAGCAAGCCGCAAATAATCAACAAACTGATTACGACGACAATAACAACAAGAAAAATAAAAAAAAACAACAAAACAAATAATAAAAAAAAAACGTTATTTTTATTTTTTTCTTCTTCTTCTTCTTTTTGATGAAGAAAATGTTTTAAAAGCATAAATTTTGCACAGAATTTCCGTAGAAAGCAATTGGAAGTCAAAAGAGAAACGTTAAAATTAAGAAGCAAATAAAAAAAAATAAAATCACTCAATTTTTTAAATTTTCTAATTTAATTTAATGAAAAATTGAACTTTTGAGTAAAAAAATATTAAAATAATTATAATTTGAGTGAAATTTAATTGAGTAACAGTAAAAGAGTAAAATTTAATTAAACTGAGAGAAAGAGTGGAATTTTAAAAATATAAGAGAAAAAATAAATAAACTAAAGTAAAAAATTCTAAATAAATTTCTTAAAACGAAAAAAATTAAAGAATTTTTATTAAAATTTAGAAAACGAAAGAAATAATTTTTATATATACCTAAAAAATTAAACAAAACTCTTAAGAAAATGTTAATTTTATGGATGGGTGTATTAAAAACATCAATGGTTGTTGGATTAACTTGTGTGGTTGTTAATAGGTAAAAATTTTTTATTAAATTTTCTCACAAAATAAAAATGAAAATTAATTTAATTAAAATTTCATTTTCATTTCACAAAAAAAAAAAAAAAAAAATCATAAAATTAACCCTAATTCTAGTAGTTTTCCCATAATTCAGTTTAACTCAATTCAACTGAGTACGGCTGAGTTATACAAAGTAATTGCGATATCGCCGTATTGTTGGTGTCTAGATCAAGAGTACTTACACGAGTTCTCCGTTTTAAACTGTACTTATTTGGAATTGGGACGAAAATGTTTTTACATTCAAATCGGAATCGTTTCAAACTAAATACAAATATTTTATATATAAATTGCCTATAACGTTGGTATTCAATCCTTCATACAGGCTATGGTTCTAAATTTCTTAAATATTTATATAATTTTTTTTATTTTAATAAATATTCAATGCAAAAAAAAATGGATAAAAAATCACATTTGTCTATAAAGGAGAATAACAATATTCTACAATGGGGGCCAAGGCATAGAAATTAAATTTTTTTAAATCGAAATTTGTTGTATAAAGGGCTCATTTAAAACAAGTTATTCATTCTGTATTTGATTTGTTGATTTAAATTTAAATTAAAAAAATAGCTATTATAATTTTACACAAATATGGGTAGAGTTTCTTGTTCCTTAAATACATAGTATATAATATTTTTTTTAATTTGTAAAAGAAAATTAAAATTAGAAATTTAGGGGAGATTGAAAAGAAAATAAATTTAAATTGTGAATTATATTTCCCTTCCTTCCCAAAGTAAGGTAATTTTTCCAATAATTTGCAAAATTTCAAATAAAACTAGAATTATTTTCGGAAAAGGGAACCGTGTTTTTACAAAATTTCACATTTATTTCTGCAAAATGTCATGTTAACAAAGAAAAATAAACGAAATAGTAGAATTAAGACAGTATAAAATAGAATACTACTGAACGCATAATTAAATATATTTATACTTTATTGAATAATTTTTGCAATAAGTACTTAATCTGTTCAGATTTGCATATTTTATACATAATAAACTATTCAGGAAATATTTTTTATTAAATAATTTAAAATATAATTTTTGCAAAATGACTAATTTATTAAAATACAATTTTTTGCAAAATTGCGTTGACATATCAATGTCAATAACTTATAAATTATTTGCGCCAATTTTCACGGTCTCATCAAAAAGCTCTCATGTAACTATATATTTATTTGGACATTTTTGTATTTAATAAAATTTTAATATAATTTCTTATTAGTACATATATTTTATTTCTTATTTTAAACCCCCCTATGAAAATTATTTATTTTGCAATAGTTTAAGCGATAATAAAAAATCATTACAATAATTGATTAAAAATTAAAAAAAAATGATGTCAAATATGTAAAAATTTATTGAGATGACGTAAAATTTTCTTATCAAAAGGCATTAAAAATGGGTTTGGCACTAATTTAAATTCTTAAATAAAGAAAAATTAAAAAATATTGATATAGAGAAGAATTGTAATAAGAAATTTCTTTGTATTTTCGGTTATTAATATTAAAAAAATAATTATTTCTTTGTCAATATTTAATAATCTCAACGTTCTCCATCTGTTAAAATTTCGTTAATATTAAAAAGCAATTAGATTAATAAAAGAATTAATAAATCCTAAAATTATCCTAAAATTATTAATTAATTAATTTTTTCATTTTTTTTTTGTTTTTTAAACAGGAACGCTTACAGTCGAAGAAGTTTACAAGGACCGAGATCAATTCGCAGCATTAGTAAGAGAAGTGGCCGCACCTGATGTTGGCCGTATGGGTATCGAAATTTTATCATTTACAATTAAAGATGTTTATGATAATGTCCAGTATTTGGCATCATTGGGTAAAGCTCAAACAGCTAGTGTTAAACGTGATGCTGATGCTGGTGTTGCTGAAGCTAATCGTGATGCTGGTATTAGAGAAGCTGAATGTGAAAAAAGTGCTATGGATGTTAAATATTCAACAGATACAAAAATTGAAGATAATGCCAGAATGTATAAATTACAAAAAGCTAATTTTGATCAAGAAGTTAATACAGCGGTAAGTAAAATTATAATAATCATTAAATAAAATATTAAATGAATATTTTAATTTAAATATTTAAAAAATTGTCTTTTTTTTTATAATATATTTTAGAAAGCTGAATCACAACTCGCCTATGAATTGCAAGCAGCTAAAATCAGGCAAAGAATTCGTAATGAAGAAATTCAAATTGATGTTGTTGAACGTCGAAAACAAATAGAAATTGAATCACAAGAAGTTCAACGTAAAGAACGTGAATTAATGTCAACTGTTAAATTACCTGCTGAAGCTGAATCATATCGTGTACAAACGATAGCACAAGGAAAACAGTACGCTAAATTTTTTATTAAAATATTTATAAGATTTTTTAAAAATATTTAAAAAAAAAAAAAAAAATTTTATAGAACACAAACTATTGAAGCTGCCAAAGCTGAATCTGAAAAAATTAAAAAACTTGGTTTAGCTGAAGCTTCTGCTATTGAATTGGTTGGTAAAGCTGAAGCTGAACGAATGAGAATGAAAGCTGCTGTATATAAACAATATGGAGATGCTGCCATTATGAATATTGTTTTGGATGCATTACCAAAGGTTTGCTATCAACAAAAAAAAAAAAAAATATAATAAAATTTTTAACAACATAATTTTGTATTTCTTTTACTTAATCAATATATTTCTTTTAAATGTTTTTAGATTGCTGCCGAAGTTGCTGCTCCATTAGCTAAAACTGATGAAATTGTATTAATTGGTGGTAATGATTCAACAACAAATGATGTTGCACGTTTATGCGGACAATTACCACCAGCAATTAATGCAATAACTGGTGTCGATTTATCAAAGGTATTATCTAAAATACCGGGTGCTAAAGCGTGAAGCTTAAATAAGCAAATAAAACAACAATATAAACAATTAGAAAATGAAGAACAATTACAATGTTTAATAAAACCATCATCATCAACGTCATCATTATCAATAGCAGCAGCAGCACCACTACAATCAACATCTAAAACAATACAACAAACATTTAATATTGGTAATAGAATAAATAATAATAGTAATATATCTGTTTATCAACGTCAACAAATACATCAACAACAACAACAACAACATCAACAGGAACTTGAACGAAATTCGGCAATACCATCAACATCGTCTTCTGCAACACAATTTAAAAAATCAACAACAATTTTATAAAATTATAAAAAACAAAACTTATATTATATACTTTTAAAATTAAAAAAAAAAATATATTATATACTATTATATATAAAATAAATAATTTTTTTTCGATTTTCATATTATGTAAAAAAAAAAAGAAAAAAAAAACAAAAAATGTAAAAAAAAAATTATAATGTTGTAAGTTTAAAAACTGATATTAACAAAATTTAAAACAAACAAAAAAATAAAAATTTAAGAAAATTAAAAACTAAATGAGAAAAAAAAAATATTGATTTGTAATATTAAAAAAAAAAATATTATAAAAAAAGAAAATGTATAATAAAAAAAAAAATTTCATATTCTGTTTTGTATGTGTAAAATTGTCGTCTTACTTCTAATTTTTTAATTTAATAATTTGGTTTTTATTAAAAAATATTTAAATCTTTCCAATCGATTAATTTTTACGTATGTAGCTATGTATGAGTATATTAAAATTAATACCTTTAAATTATTAAATATTTCCAATATTTTCAATATTTAATTGAGTCTTAAAAATGTTTAGAGTTTTCCATGGAGCTATGAGTTAAAGAATATTAAATTACTTCTTTTAACCCAACTCGAAAAATTTTGCAATAATTTAATATTAAACTATTTCTTTTAATTAGATTTTATTCTCAATTAAATTTCATATATTTTAAAAGCAATATTTTTGCATTTTCTATTGAACTGTTCGAACATTTTATAATATTTTAGAATAAAATTCCGTATTTTACGTTAGGGATGCTGTATCAATTTATTAATTATTTATTAGAATATCAATTTCTCGAATTTTTTTTCGTATATAATGCACCAGATTAGTCATCTACATGAAGTCACTACAAAGACCATTTCAGTTCATTTAACTATATATACATATATAATATTTAAGAACATTAAATTTCTTTCTACAGATACCCATCCAATCTTCTTTGTATATATTGCCATATTTCCCATTCAAAACAATAATATAATCAAATCGAATGATTCTGAAATTATTAGAAATTTCCATCAATTTAGCTAGCTAAAATTTATTATTAAAAATTAATTAAAAAATTAATTCAAAGAAAAGAACCAATTTTCAAAATAAAAAAAGCATAACTTGATAAAGGTTTCATTGTATTTAACAAAAAAAAAAAAAAAATAGTACGTCTATATACCTAAATAATGGTAATCTAATATAAACTTATAAATTGTTCGGCAAAATAAAACATAAATTCTAGATTAATTTAGGTAAATTTATCTTTTACTTTAGATATTTAACATCATTGATAATAAAATATAAATTTTTGGAATATATATTTATGTATTATGTATGTAGAATAGAATTATCTAAAAATCTATATAAAAATTTTTATTCTTATACATTCCGAAATTAAAAATAATTTTTTTTTTTTTTTTTTTGAAATATATATAATTCTAAATTATCATCCATATTCTGTTATTGGCATCAATATGAGGTGATGTTATATTATTGAAAAGTATTAGGGGTTTTCAGCAAAAATTGAATTTTTCAACTTTTGAGATTTTTATTCTAGAAAACCCAAAAAATTTTTGAATAACAACTCATCGTGTAAAGTGATGTAATGTAATGAGAGTGTATGTTGTATATTTAGTATATTTTACCATCAAACTATTCTGCATATAATTGCATATAGTTTTATAATATAATAATAATCCAATTATATATTATTAAAACAATTTATTACTTCCCGCAACATAATAGTAAGTATATATATATATAACAAATATTTTCCACTGTTATACAATATTAATTCTTAAAATTTTTAAAAAGAACAAATCTATACAAAAAAAAATATATAATATATTTTTTAAATAATTAATTAATTTTAAATTTTAGCTAGTTATAATAAAAATTATGAATTTTAAATAAATAAATAATTATATATAATTATATTTTCGAAATAAAACCAAATTATGATTTCGAATTCATTTTAAAAAGAACATATAAGATTCCTAACCTCATAACTGCTATTAATTACACACTATTAACTGACAATTAGCTGTGTCGAATAGAAATCGATATTAAATTCAATTAGGTGTAATTACAATTTCAAAATTACTAGCTCTAAAATACTCAAACTGTAAGCAAACTGTAAAAGAAAATATTTAATCCAGAATTTTTAATTCAAACTAATTTAATTCCCAATTTGAAATAATTTTAATTAACAGCATTAATAAAATATTTAACTATATGATTGGAAATGATCTTTAATATTTTAAACAAAAATTATAAAAATAATTTTTTGGTTTTTAATTTTTCTACCCCCTTTAGTTTAAATTTCTTGTATTGCTTTCTTGTATTTTTAAACAACTCAATTGTTCTCTTCTTATAATAGCTATTTTTTTTTTTTTTAATTAATAAATGACTGGTAAACATGTAAATTAAAAAAAAAATATATAAATAAATAAATAAAATAAAACATACAAATTGTAATTTAGCTAAACATTTTGTTTTAGAAAATGAAAAACAAATTAATGATGATAATAAAATAAAACATAAAAAAAAAAACACAAAAAAAAAAGTGAATTTACAAGAATTTATACATTGATATATACACAATATTTATATGTATATATAGATATATATATAATTCATATGAAAATTTATAAAAATAAAAAAAAGGAAAAAAAATAAAATATTTTGTCAACCGTTTATATAATAATATATAGATATGAATATCGAAACTAAATTTTACAAAACTTAATAATAAATTTTAAATTAAAATCCTTCAAAAATTAGGAATATAAAATTCAAAAATCTCGAAATGAAAATCAATGCCCAACATTGTTTGTGTTCCATTTAATGGTATATAATACAATAATAACACTATATTTATAACCAACATCTAAATAGAGAAATACATAAATATATATAATTAAAAAGAGATGAATACATATTTTTCCCAGTAGATGGCTTCATATTTTTATACAATAAACCTTGAGTTCAAAATTGCAGTCTCACGATATTAATAAAAATTTTCAGCTTATAAAATATTGTAAGCAGTGCTGCTGTAATTTTGAAGTTTCGGAGGCTTCAAATACATACCATAATACATATACATAATATATATATTTACATATATCTTTATTGGTTAATTTTTTACTCCTATATATATATCAAAACATTTTTCCATAAAAAAAAAATAGCATTCCCTTTAAAAACTTCTATCACATCCTATAGAATAATTAAAGAATATTTTTTATATACCCTTAAAAATGGAATAAAATTATTAACATTCAATAGATTGCATAATATTATATTTGAACAAATTGGAAATAATTTGTTTTTCTTTTAACATTAACAGACGTTCATATACATACTTGTCTATTAATAGACACTGGGACCTTACTATTTAATTCGATTTTCATAAAAAGATTTTCATTTTTTCAGAAATAGAAATATCGTACGATACAAACTGTAATTGGCACTATCCGTTTTTCCGAATAGTAAGACTCCTGAATTCCATAATGCCGTATTATTGTATATTTACCGTTTACATTCAGAAATTATAATTGAATAGAACAAAATTAATTCTAAATTAAAATCAAGAATATTTTAAAATAATTAAAAACATTTTATATTGTAAATTTTTGCACGATAATTTGATCTATATGTCGCTTTCTTATAACAATGTCTTTTTAAAGAGATTTCTTTGTTTTCTATATCACTTATTATTTATATATTTATATATATAACCAATTTAGTATATTTAGATTCAAAAAAAAAATTACCCGATATCTATTTCCATAATCATTAAGTCCTTGAGATACGACATTTTTAGTACCAGAAATTTATGTCGTAACTCGAATTGTCATTTGAGGAGGAAAAAAAAATATATGATTACAGTTGTTATATATAACTTCAATTCGTACTGAACTGACTAGTATATTCAACTAGACAAAGTTTATTATTGAAATATGTGCTTTAGCCTTGTCTTATAACTAAATTCGGTAATATTCTTATAACTAATTCGGACAGTAAAATCTGTCAAAAAAAAAAAATTAATTTTAAATTTTTAATGTCGTATCAGGAAAAATGTCGCAAGCCGAATAAAAATGGTCTAAATTTGTATCATGTCGTAACTCGAAATGTCGTATTAGAAGATGTATCAGAAGATTTCGTATCTCAAGAACTTAGTGTATAATTATTGATATTCAATTAAATCTTTTAATTTAAGGATTTTTTGAACTATGACATGCATACATACATACATGTGGAACAAAAAACAAAATTACCTCATGTAAAACTGAACAATGTCGTATTTAATATATGAAATTTACTTTTAGTAAATTATTTAAAAAAAAAAAAGAAATACAAAATTCTACATCAAATTAAAATAAAAAATTTTATTTACAATCTAATAATATTTTAACCCTATACTGTCTTTTTAAAAAAAAAAAATCATAAATTACATTAAAAATTAAATAAAATGTTCAACTCTGTTTTTTTTCTTTTGATTTTTAATGTTGTAAATGTTGTAAATTTTGCATTTAATTAAATATTTTCTTTTGTACTTAAAATAAAAATATATTATTGAAAATATTTTTTATATAATAAATTTTCGGTTTTAATTAACACAAGTATATAAAAGTAAAAATATTTTATAATTTACGCTACTTTATTTACCAAATGAAAAAATAAGCCCTCATAATTTGTTTCAGTTCAGTTCAATTTACAAATATTTAAAAATTAATATTAGTACAAAGGTTAAATAAATATTTTTAATTTTTTTATTTTATTTCTTTTTGCAATAAATTCAAAATAACACATGTCAACAATGGCAACACAAAAATTGTTTTTATATTCTAAAACCAGTTATGTAATTAGTTTTAGAACTATGGAATTGAATAGCAAAAACGAAAGTAAAAAAAAATTTTAACCCTTAAATGTGTGTGGTAACAAAAAATAGAAAAAGCGCTAGAGTAGTAATTTTGAATTACAAATGAAAATCACTAAAACCAATTCAAATTTTAATAAGAGCATAAAAGTTCACTCTAATTTTTGTTTCAGTGCAACTTAGAGATATACATTAAAACTGTCATTCGGCAAAGTACGGCCAATTGAACTTCAAAATGCGGTCTGTCATTCTGCTTATCAGAAAAAAATTATTCGAGTGCGACTATTA